GAAGCCGCGCGCGAGGCGCCGCTGCCGCGGGATCGGCGCGCTCGCCGGGGCGTCGGCCTCGTCGTCGTCGAAGGCCGAGGAATCCATTGCTGCCATGCGGCGAGTGGGTCAATCTAGTGGGTCAACGCCTACCTTGAATAGAAAGTGAAGGCCGTAATTACGCGATGGGGCACTCATTCCGGCAGCCCTCATGCGCCTGCTGATCGCCGTCGCCGCCGCCGCGGCCGCGGCGGCGCCCACGGAGGACGACGCGGCGGCGGCGACGTGCCTCCTAGCGCCGAACGCGACCTGCGACGCCGACGCGCCCTGCGGCGCCAGGGCCTACTCGCGGTCCTGCCTGCGCCTGCGCGTGCCGTGGCAGACGCCCTACGAGCGCGTGCGCTGCTGCCTGCGGTGCTGCCTCCTGCACTGGGTCGGGGCGCTCGGCCTGCGGGACAACTTCGACCGGAACAAGATCCCGGGCGCGCGGGCCGACGAGATGCTCCTCGGCTTCGGCCTCGAGTCGACGATGGGCTTCGCGGCGCTGCGGAAACCGCTCGACGCGACGGGCGGCGCCGACGGCCTGAACCGGGCGGACCTCTGGGCGCCCGAGGTCGCGGCGCCGGGCGGCGTCGCGGCGTGGCGCGCGTCGAGCTGGGTCGACGTCGCCTTCGGCGACGGCTGCGGCGGCTTCGCGGGCTACAGCTTCGGCGCCGCGCAGGGCAGCAAAAGGGTGATTCAACGTCGCTTCAACGTGAGTGTTCCGCGCGCGCGCGTTCTAGGAAAAGCATCCACGCTTCGAGAGCGCTCCGAGAGATGATCGCTCGTCCAAAAATCAGCCGAAACGAGCGGAAAACGACCGAGAGAGGAGCCTTTGAAGTTGGGAATTTCGCACCCTTTTGCTGCTCAGGCACCGCGCGGCGGCGCCACCTCGAGCAGCTCGTCGAGATCTTAAATGGACGAACACTCGCCCTCGTGTCGACGGACGACTGCGACGCGCCGGACTCGCCCGCCGCGGACCGCGTGCTCCGCCATCCGAACCTCGCGGCGTGGTTCGTGTCCAACCCGAAAACGAGTTCCAACGCCTCGAAGCTCCGCGCGTTCCCCATCGGCGCGCGCACGCGGAAGACCTTCGTGGCGGCGCTGGAGCGCGCCGAGGCGGCGAACGAGGCCCGGCGGCGTTTGCTCGTGTGCTGCTGCATGGCGGCGCTGCCGCCGCCGGGCGCGGACCCGCGCGCGTACCCGGGCCTCGCGGCGCCCGCGTCCTTCAACGGCATGAAGCCCGACGTCCGCGCGAAGCTGACCAACGACACGCTGCTCCTGGGCTCGGGCCCCGACGGCCTCGCGGCGCTGCAGCGGTCGGTCCACGCGTCCGTCGCGCGGGTCCTGAAACGCGTGCGGCGCACGGCCGTCGTCGACGCGCTCAAGCGGAGCGGCTTCGAGGGCTGCTCCTACGGCGCCCAGCGGTCGAAGCGCGGCGAGGAGCGCGACGCCCACGCGGACTACGTGTCCCAGATGCGCCGCGCGAAGTTCGTCGCGTCGCCGCAGGGCAACGGCCGCGCGTGCCACCGCGACTGGGAGGTCCTCGCCGCGGGCGCCGTGCCGCTCGTCGACTGGGACGCGTCGATCCACATGGCGCGGCTCTACGACGGGCTGCCCGTGGTCCGCGTCAGGGACTGGCGCGCCGTGACGCCCGCGGCGCTGGAGGCGGAGTGGCGGCGCCTCGACGGCCGCCGCGGCGACCTCGACGTCGCCAAGCTCTACCTGCCCTACTGGCTCGCCGAGCTCACGGCCCACGCGTTCCCCGGGGAGGCGGGGTAAACCCGCGAGGCCACGGTCCGAGCCACGACAGACGAGTCCAGGTGGCTCTGAAAATTAGTAGTCCCCGCCGGGACCCCGGCGTATCGTCGGACATGTTACCCCGTCATTGGGCCTGGTCGTGGGCCTCGGCGACCTTGACGCGCCGCGCGGGGCAGCCGTAGAGGACGGTGCCCGCCGCGAAGTCGCGGAGGTCGGCGAAGAGCTGGGACCGGGGGCCCAGCACGACGCCCTCGGGGACGACGTCGTCGACCCAGGTGATCGCGTGGGGCCCGAGGACCGCGCCCTCGCCGATGGTCTTGCGCCCGAAGCGGTTCAGCCTCGGGCCCTGCTCCGTGACGTGCGCGTGGTTGCAGACGCCGTCGTCGAGGACGCAGCTCTTGCCGAGGCTGAGCAGGGGCGGCTCGCTGAAGTCGACGTTGTAGATGACGGCGTCCAAATCGACGTCCGCGCCCCAGACGTAGCGGAGGTACGCGGGCGCGAGGCGCGAGCCGCGCAGGAGGCGCATCGCGAGGTCGTGGAGGAACTTGTTCATGGTCTGGTAGGGCTCGAACTCGATCTGGAAATTGTCCGTCTCGACGGCGGTGAAGTCGCGGAGGACGACGAAGACCCACGCGCGGAAGACGAGGAGCAGGCCCGCGAGCGCCTGGGCAGGAAAAGGGTGATTTAACGTCGCTTCAACCTGATTGCTCCGCGCGCGCGCGTTCCAGAAAAGCATCCACGCTTCGAGAACGCTCCGAGAGATGATCGCTCGTCCAAAACTCAGCCGAAACGAGTGGAAAACGGCCGAGATAGGAGCCTTTGAAGTGGGGAGTTTCGCACCCCTTTTGCGGCCCTGGCGAGCGCGACGAGCGCGATCGGGCCGACGAAGAGGAGCTCGACGTAGCGGTTCCCGAAGGCACCTTCCTTCGTCTCGTCCTTCCAGGCGCTCGTGTAGTAGTTGGAGTCGTGGTCGTAGTAGCGCGCGGACGGGAAGAAGAGCAGCACGGCGAGCTCGTACGCGGGTGCGAGGCCCCCGAAGGCGAGCAGGCCGAGGAGCGCGAGGCGCGTCGCGAGGGGCTGGACGTAGTGGCGGTACGTCGGCCGCTGGTCGCGGGCCCGGCCCCCGGCGTCGAGCTTGGAGACGGAGCCGGCGAGGAGGAGCGCGTCCGGGCCGAGCGCCTCGTCCTCGCCGAGGACCGCCTGCTGCGCGACGACGGACCGCGCGCGCGCCGTCGCGCCCGCGTGGAGGCGCGCGAAAAATCCGACCTGGGCGTGGGCCTCGACGACGACCCGCTCGTAGGTGCCCCTGGAGTGCGCGCACTTCAGATCGCAGACGGAAATCAAAGCGTGGTCTCCGACCGTCACGAGGTCGGCCTCGGACGCGTCGCAGACGTCCATCTGGACGAAGCAGGCGCTGAGGGCCACATCCGCGCCGAGGAGCTTGAGAATCACGTTGGGCAGGCACGAGTTCTGGCCGAAAAAGAGGAGGCCAAAGCGGCCGACGATGCGATGCCAGACGACGTCGACGTACCAGACCCGCAGCTCGCGGCCGAGCGTCCGCGGCGTCGGCGACCCGGCCGCCGTCCGGCCGACGAGGAGCCACTTGAGGATGATCAAACTCGCGAGGATCGTCATCTGGCCCCAGAAATACAGCAGGATCCAGAACAGCAGGTTGCGGTAGCGGAAGGGCCACTCCCACCAGTGGACGCGGCGGAAGCACAGCGCGCTGGCGGCTAGCGAGGAGACGAAGGGCACGTATAAAATGGGCACGAAGCAGAGGAGCTTGCCGGCCTCCCGGCGATAGTAGCGGCGGCGCGCCGCGTCGTCGTCGTCGGCGCCGCCGTAGGTCCGGTGCCGCTTCCCGGTCAGGAGCGGCTCGGCCGCGCCGTCGAACTTGGGGCTCACGGCGGCTTTGCCCGCGGGGCGCGTCGGCGCAATGGCGTCCCCGACGCGGACGGCGGGGCTCCCAGCGTAGCGACCGCCGTCCTCGAAACTCTGGCCGGGCAGTGTCGACGCGAGGTGCGCGAGGACCGCGCCGTCGCCCAAAGCCGCGCCCGGCGAGAGGACCGCGCCCGCCTCGACGGTGGCCCGCGCGCCGATCGAAACCCGGGCGAACCGCAGGTCGCCGCCGGCCTCGCTGCCGCGCGACCGCCCTCGATCCTCGCGAAGGGCCCCGCGGACACGAGGTCCGGGGGTCCGTGCAAAAGCGCGTCGACGGACGCCGTCCAGGCCACGTCGGCGCCAAGCGCCCGGTAGAAGCCGTTGGCGAGGAGTGTGTCCTTGACGAAGGCGCCGACCCAGTAGTCCCACTGGTCGAAGAGGCGGTCGACGAACCAGTGGCGGAGGTACGCGGCGGACCCGGCCCTCGCGACGCCCGGCCGCGCTTTGCCCACGACGAGCCACTTGGCGACGACGACGACGACGGACACGCCGCCGAGATAAATAGGCACGACGAGCGCGACGAGGAGGCCGTAGGTCCAGGCCTCGTGGAGGTTCGCGAGCATGAGGCGGCCCCAGGGGTTGTCGTTGTTCCGTCGGACGTACAAATCAGTATCCGTCGCGTCTTCGTGGACCCGCTTCCACTGGGCCCAGAACCCAAAGGCGTAGGCCGGGAGGAGGGGCAGCGCCATGCAAAATGCGACGAGGACGACGCCGAGGCCCTGGAGCAGGTCCATGGCCGGTTGGGGGATTTTGAGCGCGGACCCGGGTAGCTCGTCGTCGGGCACGCGCGCCTTGGAGACGAAGAAGGTCGGCGCCGCGTCCTCGCCCAGACCGGCCTTGAGGACCAGGGCGCTGAGCTGCTTGGGCGTCGCCTCCATGAGCGCGGCCGCGTCGACGTCCATGAGGTTGTCCGTGGACGAGAGGACGCGGACCATCTTCGACGCGCCGCGGCTCGTGAGCCCCTGCTCCGCGAGGGGCGTCGACGCGCGGACCTCCGCGCCCGCGACGCCGACGGCCCGCGCCGACGCCTCGCGGACGAGGGTCTCGGTGTAGCAGCGCTGGAGCGCCCGGGAGATGTCCGCGACCGTCGCGCCGTCGGCGAGCGCGGCGACGACGAGCGCCGTCGCGTCCTCGACGA